CCAGCACCCTGCCCGGGCAGGGGCACCGCTGCCCGAGAAACGCCAGCCCGTGCAAAGCCTGAGCAACCCGGGCACTTGCCTCTTGTGCTGTATGCCAGCCCATGCTGGGACAGACAGACGCCTGCACCCCTCCTGGGCAGACCCCCTCTGCCTTCCCTCTCCTTCCCCGTGCCCACGGCGGTGTTCCTCGCAGGGTCTGTGCGGTGCCGGGGGCTTTGCAGCCCTGTTGTTGGGCTGGGAAACATTTGCACGGGCTGGTGCCAGGGGACAAAAGGTGTCCACATGGGTGCAGCCCCTCGCCGAGGGGCCGTGCTCCTTGGTGCAAGGAGGAGAGCTGCTTGCAGGAGGAGTCAGAGCCAAATGTCCTCCGTGTGTTAGGCTGTGGCTTAATTTGGGAAAATGTGAGCATCTGGGATTTCCAGGGAGTCTGAGGGACCATCCGTGCGCTCGGCTTTTGAAGCCAAAGCATGGTCTGTAGCTTTCTGGCAAACTCCTCTGGGTTTCATTGAAAGGAGAGCCCTGGCCGCTCGTGGAGGGGGGCTGAAATGCTGCCTCTCTCGGCCCCGGTGCTGCCCTTGGACGCTGCCGGCTGGAGCCTTTCGCAGCAAGCAGGAACCGGCAGCACCCGGCACTGCGTGGGATCCGGCCACAGAGCTTGACGTCAGGAGCATTTTAAAAAAAAAAAAAAAAAAGTCATGCTTCATTTTGATGACTCCATTATTCAGAGGAAATGGAGAAAAAGAAAGCAAAAACCCCCAACCCCCAAAATAGCCAGAGGCAGAAGAGATGGTGGAAATGGAAGGGCGGGAGGATGGCCGGCGGCAGGCTGGCATCGGCGGTGCCACTGCAGTGGGTGCCCCCCATGCCCGGCGCTGGGCCCTGACGCAGGGGGCCCGTCTTGTGTGCAAGCGGCGCAGCAGGAGGAAATGCCGCGATGCAGCAACAAACCTGCTCCCGACTGCCGTGATTCACGCTTTCACCTGAAAAAAATGTACTTCCCGAGCTGGGTTTCCACCGACAGCTTTAATGGGGACTATTCCACCATGAAGATTCTTGGAAACTAAGTGACACTTGGAAAAACTCTCCACTGACCCAGCGGTAGTCAAACGTAGCTCAGGGTAAGTCGTTCCCATCTCACGCTTGTTTCCGTTCCGACAGAAACTATTCCCCCACCCCCCAATTTTGACTTGTTCTGCTCTGCCCTGGAGCTGCTCCTGCCCTTCCCCGGCGCGCGGTCCCCGAGCTGCTG